TTTGAGAAAAAAGTTTGCGCAAGCGGGTTCGTCAGCTGAGCGTTTGTTTACATCACAAGCACCACTATTTTACACTTTTATTCAAGTAAAGAAAGTTAATTCAACATGACAACACATTTTAAAGCATTTTGTTGCATCATTTTACCTAAATTGTGCGTTTAAAGTGACTGACAATAATTTTGGCTAATTTTGGTTTTCGTTGTTTTCTTTGCTTTGTTTACTTATCGCTCGTTTTCCAGTGAAACAAGATGGCGTAGAACCCGCTAAAAAAATCGACTTTTTTCAGTCTCTTATTCTTACGTGATCTTGTGTCTTTTGTTCATGGGGTATTTATATATATGCTTTTTGGCTGCCTGCTATGTGACTTTATGATAGCGCCAACTAGTTTTTTCTTCTATGGAGGCAACATGAATTTCAGTTTGTTTACAAATAAAACAAACAAAAGTTAAGTTCGATAACAAAATTAGCCAACACCAGCCAACAATCAAAATCAAGAGCGTAAGCGAAAATTCTCTCCCAAAGAGAAGAAAAAGCAAAAAAGTAAACGAACAAGAAATTAGCCATCACTTGCAAAAACCGGAAGAAGAAGACACACCAGCTGACTTTCTTTATGTTTTATTTGTAAACAAACTGAAATTCATGTTGCCTCCATGGAGAAAAAAGGAAAGTGAATGTTCAATGTTCGCCAGGAACATTTCTAGAAGTAAAAACTAGTTGGCACTATCATAAAATCACATAGCATGCAGCCAAAAAGCATATAAATACCAAAACTCGAAAAATGCAATTTTGTTTGTTTACAAAAATTGCAACTATAGGTGCGTTCGACAAGTCAAAAATTTGTAATAGTTTTTTCCAAATTTTTACTGGATGGCGTTTGATAACGACAAAAAATTATCCAACACACAAAAATTGAGAGAGCAAGCGTACATTTTGATGCAAGAGAAGCGTTCATTTTGTACTGGCAATTTTAGTCAGCAAAAATTATCCAACACGAAAACATATGATCACAAAACATATGGTTGCAAATTTGTAAACAAACAAAATTGCATTTTCCGAGTTTTGGTATTTATATGCTTTTTGGCTGCCTGATATGTGACTTTATGATAGCGCCAACTAGTTTTTACTTCTAGAAATGTTCCTGGCGAACATTGAACGTTCACTTTCCTTTTTTCTTCTATGGAGGCAGCATGAATTTCAGTTTGTTTACAAATAAAACATAAACAAAGTCAGCTGGTGTGTCTTCTTCTTCCGGTTTTTGCAAGTAATGGCTAATTTCCTGTTCGTTTACTTTTTTGCTTTTTCATCTCTTTGGGAGAGAATTTTCGCTTACTCTCTTGATTTTGATTTAGTCTGTTCCTTTGAACTTCGGACTAAAACCTGTGGAACTGTCAAACTACAATTTTACGCTCTCAAATGAGAGTAAAAGGAGAACAGATGCAGAAGTGCATAGGAACGCAAAAAGCACTATTTCCTGTAAAAACGTCAGTCGGTTTGTTTACATGTCATTGGCACTACACT